GTAGTAGTAGTAGTAGTCATAGTCGTGGCGGTAGCACGAGTAGTGTTAGTAGTGTAGAATTCGACGGAGAAGGAGTCGGAGTAGGAGAGGGCGCCGGGCAGTGGCAGTGGAGCCTGCGGCACCCTCCTCGGCGACCCCGGCACGAGCGCCGCCCTGGTCCAGCGCCAGGCCATGGGCGCCGCCAGGCTAGGGTTCGGGTTCCTTCTGCTTTTGCTTGAAACAGTGTCATGATTTTCTCGTTTACTCTGCTGGGGTTGGCTTGCTCGGGATGCTCTATGAAGGTGATGAGACGGATATGGCAGAGCCGTCTTGTTCGTGCGGGGTTTGTAACAGCTGTTGATGTGACAGGCCAAAGATTCGGGCTTGACGGTTTAGGCTTGAAGCAGAAGCACCCGACATGCTAAGGGCGGTCCTTGCACATTGACATTGAGCCAGCGAGAAAAACTTCAGATTTCACCTGCGATTGCAAAGCCAGAGTGTGCATTTTGTCCGCACAAAGGCAGCAGCTCGCCAGCAGAGCCTGCAACAGCAGCCTCCAGTATCAAGGTAAGACTGGCAAGAAAGCTTGCCAGGAATTAGCCTGCTAACACGTCTTCTCGACAGCAAGCCTGTGCACGCGTGGCAGCTTCAAGCAAAGCCAGCCAGCGATCCTTCTCGGAGGAAGTCAACAACGTCGGCATCATCCAAATCGCCATCCGAGTCGACAGCTACATTCAGGATCGAGGAGAGAGACTTCGGCGCTTGCGGTGTGGACTTGCCAGTGCTGTTCTTCGAAGATCCAACAGCCGACACGACTTGCTCCACCGATCCAAGTGGTTCAGATCGCAGATCAGTCGCTGTCTCTAACTGAGGCTGTGCCAAGTGCCAAGCTGTGTTCTCGAAAGTGGTCAGGAGTGACCAGCCATCACCTGCACTGCGGGCAAAAAAAGGCTTGCGAAGGTATCGACCACTGAAGTCTACGACGCACTAGCCACAGGTGAAGCCCGCTTGAATTCTAGTCAGCTGCAGCGATGACAGCATTCTGAGATGTTCGCTGCTGGAACATGCTTGAACAATCCCCACAAGCCACGGTGGCCAGCCTTCATCTGGAGGCATTGCACGCGCCGTTCCGCGAAGGCGCATCGTCGAGGGGGCGAAGGCATCCACGCTCTGTGTGGCGAGCGCCACGAAAACCATGGAGTAGTAAGGGCTCATTATCGGAACGCGTAGAACGTCAGTGGGTACAGTATGCACCAGGGCTCGAAGCCAGGAGACAACAAGATGAAATTCGGACACTTTGCTTGTGCTATCATGCTGGCAAGCCGCCCCTCCCTCGTCCTCGCTCCATCCCCTGCCTCACTTCCTCCCTCGCTCTCACCCAAGCCCTGCTGGCAACATCTCTTTTTCTGGCCTTCGACCAAGGCTAGTTCAATGTTTTTCGGCGGCGGGGCACTCTCCACACACGATGTGAATCTTGCGCGAATTTCTTGCACTCGCCGAGGTCCGAGTTCTCGAGAACTCGGACTTGGAAGCTGCTCCGACTGCTCGGAGGGAGCTGAGAGACCATCAAACTCCGTTCAGGTGCTCCCAACTTCCCAACGAGAAACTGGGCGTAGCACGAGAACTGAACGAATGCGAGAGCGAGACACAGGGATGGCGTCTGACAAAGAGTGAGCTAGAGCAGAGAGGGAAAGAAACTATCTCGTCGGAACGGGTCGAACGGTTCCTCGACCACCATAGCAAGAGAAGCAGTAACAAAAGCACTCATGATCCGCAGCTCACCAGCAACAATGAACACGATGACTCGCATTCGTAAGTGCTGCGGTATAGTACAAGTTAGTGCCAGGACATCAGCAATCTCTCTTCTGCATTAGTAGCCGAAGGTGCTAACTGGAAACCTAAACAGACAAATTGACGAGGGATGATACGGACAGAACTGAGTCTTGCCAGCCCGTACACAGAGCAGATCCGTTTGGCTGTGCCTCAACATTGATGCTTGGGCACATCTGAGTCTGGGCTCGGCGACTTCCGGGCCAAGGGTTTCAGTTCAGGGCTAGAGGCTTATTTTGTGTGGTCTTGGCTCAGGGTTGGTTCAGGGTGCACCAAGTCTCAGACATTCCTCTGCCTGCGACGAAAGCGTGCAGGCCACCATCCGGGGACGTTCTGATGAGTACTGCTCGCCTACACCTGACAAGTAACATGAAACAAAGTTCAGGCCATGATCGCGCAGCGATTGTGGCTAGATGGCTGCGTCTGGTATAATGTGCTGTACTGACTACTACAGAGGAAGTGCCTCAAGTACTTATGCTTCTTCTGTTTTATCTCGTGGTGGCATTTGAAGTCGTCTACAATTGCTGCGATGTACCATCCTCAGATATGCTCTATATTACATTAGAAACTCAAGCAAGCACTGAAGAGCATTACTTGCGATATTAGCTCCTGCTTTCACCACGACACCTAAGAGAAGTAACGTTCCTACTGATGTTGCGCTGTTTGTGGCCATTTTGCAATGGTGGCAGCAGCTGCAGCAGCAACAGCAGCATTAGCAGTAGCAGCAATAGCACTGGCCACAGCAGTGGCAGTATCATCCCCACTTTCATTGTCATATTCATCATTGACATTGTCAGCTGGCACACCTAGATGTGTAGCCTGGTAGTTCAAAACTTCTGCACGGGAGCTCCTCGTGGAAACGGATCTCCTGTGACATGGGAGGTCACGGGAGCGAAAATTTGTAGGGCCGGCACGGGCAGTCTGTCGATATTCCATGATGAAGGCTTGAACCCGTGTCGGAGATGCACGAAAAAGACTCGCAGCTTTACAAAAACTGACTCCATACTGGATTCTCATGGTCACTTCGAATATTGCCCGTGCACCCAATTGTGACAGGGCCTGTGTTCTCACAAACCCGACATGCTTTTAAACGATCTACAACGCTGTACTTGGAACAGTCCAGAACGAAGGAAACAGCACTGAGGCTTCGCGTCTCGTGCTCCGGCTCGGCTGAGGCGAGCCGGAGCCACTGGGCGGCACGCAGTGAATTCGACGCACTCTGGCAACAAGGTCCACTAGGTCACTAGGTCTCACCGCGAATTCATGGAGGTTTTTAAAGCCGAGATTTGTCAGAGCGGCCGTCTCACTTTGCAAGGGAGCCGAGCATGTCATCACGACAGCCCAAAGTCGCTGGCAAAATGCACTGGTCTTAAGGCAGACGGAGGCCACTGCACATGGGGGGCAGATTGAGGCTAGGGCGGTATGCGACAGGAAAGCAACAGTTGAGCTGTTTTTAAGTTCGTTCGGGACGGGAAACTGTGAGGCTGCTGTCGCGTTTGTCCTGGACGGGAATGATGCACCCACATGCACGACCACTACGACTACTGCGACTACTACGACTACTACGACTAAGACTACGACTACTACTTCTACTACTGCTACTACTACTACTACGACTACTACTACTACTACTACTACTACTACTACGACTACTACTTACTACGACTACTACTACTACTACTACTAC